CAGAAAAAGAATCAACCGATAAATGTCAAGATTCAACCCCCACCACCAGCCGTCAAGGAACCCACTGAACCACCACAGGAAGCCCAACAGCCACCAGATCAGCAGGAAGAAACCGTGCATGAGGTCGGTTTGGAGCGCGAAATTCTTCAAGCTTTACCCAAAACATCAAAAACTCGTAGTAAAATGTTGTTGGAAATACCCGAAAGGCTTTGCGGTTGCATCTCTGAATGATTCTTGCATTAATTTTGTATTTCCTGGGAACATTTGCTTGGCTAAGTGTGTGATTTGACTGCTATCTCGCGGTGATTTAAATATAACCAAGTAATGAGCATTCAAAGAAATATTGCGAAGCTCTTTGCCGTGACAAAACATATTTTGCAAAATAAAAACACAAGACAGATTTTTGTGATGGCAACCTTTTGTAAAAATGTTCGTTAATCTTTTATCATCAGAAAGTTCATTCATTAAATCATCAATCACCACAAGATTTCTTTTACTTGGATCAATTTTGGACTCCAAATCCACAGGCAAACCCTCGATAAATTCAATATTATCTAATGTTTCTAGCATTTCGTCATGCGCAGTTTGAGGCATTCCATGACACCATATGATTTTCTCCGGTGCACCMTCTATTAYATCTTCCCCTCTCTCTAATATTTTTCTTAATAAAAACGTTTTTCCACAACACGTTGGACCAGCAAACACGGCGCCAWAAGGATGTTTTAACCTGGGATCCATATTCTTATCTCAGAAATTCGCTGTTCACTCTTCAAGTCTTTTTGTTGTGAAAACAGAGCCATTGAAAGCCATTGTTTTCTTTCACTACCGTACAGGTTATGTATTTGCCGCAAATGATCACTAAGGAACTGTAGATCAGGCTTGTGGCAAACAGGACAGCTTCTTCTGTATTTGTAAGGCATGTTAACCGTTTGAGGACCAAGCATCAAATGATGGTTCTTGTTGATTTCACCTGCCTTTTACTAAATGCCTCGTGTTTCCTGGAAACTAGTTTATCATGTTTTCTGTCAGTCATGTCAATGTTTGGATATCGAGGTTTTTAAGGTACTCGTGCCCACATACTTCATTGGATAATTCCCAAACTCGATTGGAATCCACTAACTGCGTGGCTTCGTCGTAATACTGCTTGAATGCTTCTCCATTATTGGTCATCATGCAAATATGATCTTTCTTGCCTGGAAGTTGAAGTTTGCAGCCTTCACACGAAGAATTTATCAGTTCCCAAATTTGATGCTCGCATAAAGAAGCATAAGAGAGTTGCAATACCGTTGATATCAGCTCCAGCAGAAAAGAACGTTCAGCCTTTTCAACATGTTCAATCATAGCTCTATTCACTGGACCAAACATCTTGAGCAAAGAAATATGTAACTTACAAGTCAGTCAGAGCGCAGAGTGACTATAACAGCCCAGATTGAAGCAATAA